GGGGGGGGGGGGGGGGGGGGGGGGGGGGCGAGGGCGAAGGGTCTATCAGCGATGCAAGCAACAGTGCTGCGAATGCTGGGGTTTAATGCTAAAACCGAAGTAAACTAAGGCCTAAAGTAACTTTGAACTAAAGTAAGTGTAAGTAGCAGTGTGTTACAGCTTTGTTCCTCCCCTCCTCCCTTCCCCTCCCCCTCTCTTGTCCTCCCGTTCCCCAGTAGTCCCACTCTACCCCCCACCCCCTGTCGCTGTCCCTGATGAGTCCACCGTGGATCTGCCTATGTGTTAACGTTACTTTTTTACGTGGACGAAACGGTTTATCTGTAGTTTTGGGCCAGCATTAATAGGAAATATGGTTTTGGGCATACAACAATCGTGGGATGTTTTTTGTTTTGTTTACAGTTAAGGTAGAAAATGAGGAAAAGGAAAAAGAAGAGAGGGAAAACGAAGTGAAAAAAGAGGAAGGGGAGTATTGAAATATTTGTAATTGGTAAGAAATGTTTCGGTCCATTTGCCAGTTGCATAGACTATGCAGAGATATAGTACTATAGCATGAAAGATTGATCAAAGCAATATTTAAATTCAAGGTTATATTTAAATTCACTTAAATTCACTTTTTTTTAGTATCACAGCAGCACCGAACATCAGCTACGGTAAACGTGTACACGTTCTTCCAATAGATGATACGGTTGCTGGCCTTACGGGGTTCGTTTTTTTGACTTTTTTTCGCAAATTTTTATTAATTTTGAAAAATTTCCTAATTTTTGCTACGCTGAATTTGAGCAATGATGAGTTGGTGCAGGGGTCCTGAAACTGGCAGAGGTGTGTGCCAGTGTACCGTTATGAGCACATCTGCACCGGGCGGATAGCTCTTGCGGTACAGAAAAACAGCACCCACTGAGCTCTATAATAATTTAAATTGAAATATTTTATGGTTATGAAAAAGGTTGTAACAAAGTAAAAAGTAAAAGCAAAAAAATTAAAAATGAAAACTGAATTGAAATGTTTCGGTCCACTAAATTGCGTACATTCGCGGTTCAATAAACCACGCCAAAAAATGTGGTTTTTCTTTTGTCTTGGAGGTATTTTCGCATTTTTATGCGTTTTTTGCAGCAATGCAATGCAAAAAACGCATACTGACGAAAGGTTGTCCATGTGTCCGTGTGTCTGTGTGTCATGCACTTTCATCTCAGGACCAATAGAAGCTGCAGGGCTGAAATTTCGGGAACTTAATCTACATGTGCGTACCGCCCCTAATCCCCAAAATGGGCGCCAAAACCCGCGTGGTACCCGCGTACGGGCCACCAAAGTTTTTTCGGGGTCAGTTCATAATTCGAGGATCTGAGAAGCTAGAAGGCCGAAATCTTGGGGGGCCACGGAAGCTAGAAAGCTGAAATTTTAAGGAAATGTTTCCTGACAGTT